CCCCTAGTCCCAGCATTTTGTCCTGCAAAAACGGTGGTTATAGAGATTTCGGGGGTGGTGAAATAGGATAGGCCGAGAAAAAAAAGTTTTTAGAAGTAAGTGTTAAGTGAAAAAATGTAGTCAAATTTGCTTTCCACGGCCGCTGGAAGAAAGTTATTCCGCATGTAAATTGATGGTGTGCTCGGCGCTTCGCGCCTCGGACTACACTAATCTAACTCCAGAACGCTAAGTTGGACCACAAGTAAATTGAAGCAGACGACCTCCTACGACCTCCTTCCACTGCGTGTCCTAATTCCCCACCCACAAAACCCTATAACCACCGTTTTCCTAGGAAAGCATACAGGTTGTAGGGATTAATGAGTGGGGCTAGGTAAGCTACTGTTGCCGATTTATGAATTATAATTAACTCATACCATTTATTTTGGACAATAATTTTCGTTGACTGAAAACACACAGAACCCGGAAGCAATAAACACAGAACAAACAAAGCAGATCCTATCCCTTGCGGTAGTTAGTTCCATCAAAACAACGACACACGCTTAAGCATACAATTCAGCGAATGTATAATCTGCATTTAAATAGTACTTAATTCATACACCAGTGTAGGTCGACGGATACACCCAAGCTTGTAAACTAAACACGGCTATTCCAGACGGCTATTCCGTTCTCCCAGAAGCAAATGAAAAGCGTTTTTCGACTTAACCTTTTCAAATACAGCTAGTTGATCTCCTTTTTCTCAATCCAAGTTATGCATTGTGAACTTTTGGGCTGCATGCATGTGTGTTCAAACATCGATATCGGTGAAGTTCATCAAGGTTGGCACAGAAGGTGACAGCCTCAGAGGGTAGACTATAATGAAAGCGGACATAGTTCACGCCAACCGCACTCATCACCTTCGCCCACAGTCAAGAAGACCAAAAGGGACCCGGCGTTGGCCGCCGTCTCCAATTCAAGCGAGAAACCTCGCCTAACTTTGTCTTAAGTGACAGTAAACTTTGGGCGGGTACTACTGTACCATCTATCCTCACTCACTCTTAGTTGGTGTGAAGGCATACCCAAGGAGGCCGATACGAATACAGCTACTACTATTTCTACCACAACTGACTACCAATGTATCCGGGAACCACAGCAGACGCAACTGCGTCGCGTTTCCACCCGCCCCATGGTGGCCACGTTCTGTTACACCCAACTCCCTACGTTGGATGAACCATTCCCTCCTCTGAACCTGTGTTTTTTAATGACGGAGCAGCCCCTCACGGCCACGCTACTCCGACTCCTCCTCCTTGCCGCCGGAATTGAGACCAACCCCGGACCTCTTTGGTACTGCTACTTCTGTTAAGTCCGACTGGGCAGCCGCGACTGCAGCTCCCGCAATAGTTGGTGCCATTTCCGCTGCAGTGGCCTCGCCGACTCTGACGATTGTTCTCCCGCTTTAACCTGCCCCTACACCTCCTGCCCTTCCTGTCTTCCAAAAAAATGCTCAAGTCTCTGACCTGGCCACACTATCTAACCTTAAACTTCTACAGTTCAACGCCAATGGCCTACTCAGCAAGCTAGACCAGCTCCTCGCATGCATGCGTTCGCACAGCAACACTGTAGCTGCTATCCAAGAGACGACGTGGTCTAACTCCACCAAGGTCTCTTCCTGTGCCTACTACAGGATCGTCCATTGCGACCACGGTCGCAACAAAGGTGAAGGCGTCGCCTTACTGGTGAACAAATCCATTGCCCATCATCAACTACTCTGACTGGTGCCGATCCCACGGAAGTACTGGGAATTTTCCTCGACAGTGGCTCGGCGCCGCTGACCATCCTGCACGTCTAAATCCCTCCAACTTCCAGTTGTCCTCCCGGTTTCACCGCCTCTATCACTCCCTTCTTACCTCCTGGATACATTTTGGTGCTAGGTGACGTAAAGCACCAGTGGTGCTCTAACTTGGCGGAGAAGTCCAGGTCGAGAACAGCCAAACACGGCTTCCACCAACGGTACCTCCAGCTCGCCAGTTTTTTCCCTCGCCAGTTTCAGCCTGTTACCCTACACCATGTGGAGCACAAAAATCAGCCTGCGTAGCGATCGCCTCCCTAGAGTGCTCGAATAGGCCACCGCCGCCGACCGTATCAAGGCTCAAAACAGAAACATTCTTAACTTCAAGCGATCCGATTGGGCAGCGTTTTTCGCCGAATGCTATCCCGGGATCGACGGCCTACAGCCTTCCCCTGGCTGAATGAGCCGTTTTTCAACTGCTTATGGTAGCGGCAGGTCACCACATACCTTAAGAGCCGCATTCCTATACTCCATCCGAACTACCCACCTAAAGCCTCCCGACTGGAATGAGAAAGAGATGAGATGCGAGCGCGTGATGCAGAGGACCCGCGCGTCGGCGAACGCAATGGTTTTATCACCAAGACCGTCAACAAAGACAAATGTAAACGCTGGCATGAACTAGTTGCAGATTGCGATTCCTCGAGCAACTTAGCTGCTAACTGGAAAGTTCTACACAATCTGACCAAGCCCCAAACTGACACACCTAACCAGTCTATTAGGTACGGGCACGGTATTTTCATTTCGAACAACAGTAAGATTGCCGCGAAGATGACCAAACTGTTCTTCCTCCGTTCGCCGTCCAGTCCCAAAAGCCAGCTTGCCCTGCTTCGCCTCCTCCAGAAAGCCCTGTTTCCGAACATGTCCTTCTCGGTCAATGCTATCCTTACCACCTTCAAGAAAAAGAAAGCCTCGGAAGCCTTAGAACCAGATGGTCTGACACATATCCATTTGCGCCATATCGACCCTTAGGCGGCTGCCTACCTGGCTGCCATTTTTAACTTTTCGCTGGCTAGTTTAATCATCCCCGATCGCTGGCGTCATAATTATACCACTGGTCAAAGCTGGCAAATACTCAAATCTAGCAACCTCCTATTACCCAATCGCCCTACTCAGTCCACTGACAAAGATTCTGGAACGATTCCTTCACCCAATTCTGACGTCTGCATTGGATCTGTCTAGTTTCAGATCGAGTCGTGGTACCACAGCGC